AGAACACTGACCCTGATGATATGCACACAGAACATTGACCCTGATGGCATGCACACAGAAAAAAGACTGATGATATGCACACAGAATATTGACCATAATGGTATGCACACAGAACATTGACCCTGATGGTATGCACACAAAACATTGACACTGATGGTATGTACACAGAACATTGACCCTGATGGCATGCACACAGAACATTGACACTGATGGCATGCACAAAGAACACTGACCCTGATGATATGCACACAGAAAAAAGACTGATGGTATGCACTGCACACAGAACATTGACCATGATGGTATACACACAGAACATTGACCATAATGGTATGCACACAGAACATTGACCCTGATGGTATGCACACAGAACATTGACACTGATGGTATGCACAAAGAACACTGACCCTGATGATATGCACACAGAACATTGACCCTGATGGTATGAACACAGAACATTGACCATGATGGTATGCACACATAACATTTACCCTGATGGCATGCACACAGAACATTGACCATGCTTGTATACACACAGAACATTGGCCATGATGGTATGCACACAGAACATTGACCTTGATGGTATGCACACAGAATATTGACCATGGTGGTATGCACACAGAACATTGACCCTGATGATATGCACACAGTAAATTGACCATGATGGTATGCATACAAAACACTGTCACTGATGGTATGCACACATAACACTGATAATGATGGCATACACACAGAACATTGACCCTGATGGTATGCACACAAGACACTGACACTGATGGTATGCACACAGAACACTTACAATGATGATATGCACACAGAACATTGACCCTGATGGTATGAACCCAGAACACTGACCCTGATGGTGTGCACACAAAACATTGACCCTGATGGTATGCACACAGAACACTGACACTGATGATATGCACACACAAATACCTTGATGGTATGTCCACAGAACACTGGTATGCACACAGAACACTGACCCTGATGGTATGCACACAGAACATTGACCCTGATGGTATGCACACAGAACACTGACACTGATTTTATGCACACAGAACACTGACCCTGATGATATGCACACAGAACATTGACCCTGATGGTATGCACACAGAACATTGACCCTGATGGTATGCGTACAGAACACTGACCCTGATGATATGCACACATAACACTGACACTGATAGTATGCACACAGTACAGTGAACGCTGGTACCAAACTGACTGGTCCGACCCGTTGGGCTTTCAAGACGAAATGTTGAATTGTCTATCTAATGTTGACATTCTGGACCGTTGTTGTCGAAAAAACTATTATCCATTATTCGAAGGAAGCTTGTCACAGAATTAACAAATGGATGGTTGGAATGCTACTTAAATAACATACACACGACACTCACAATATTAAAACAAATTAATTAAATAATGATGATGAATTAAAAAAATTATTGCATATTAGTAAAATCAAATAACCGCAGTTCAATCGTTCTTAAGCGTATTCACCATTCTTAAGAACACATTGTGGTTCATTGATACGTCTTGCACTTAAATATTTTTCCTCTAATGTCTCCCTGAACCTAGCTGCCCTCGAATAGCATTCTTCCTTTATATATAGCTGCCTGCTTCAAGCTTCCTCTAATCTTCCTAGAAAGCAAAGGTGACCCGAACAGGGTTGTCCAAAAAGACGGGTATGATAAGGAAGGAGGGATGTGTATCAAGAGTAGGCTGGCCGAGCCCGTCAAAGAGTTGGTCATGGTATGGTGAGCAGCCATGGCCAATGACCGTAGTAGTCTTTGCCGCCACCTCCCAAGCGTGGTTGTTACATGATGTCTGCAACGACAGATCGGACGGGCATGGAGCAGATTTGCCCGTCCTAAAACAGACGGGCGTATGTATGAACCACTACTACATTCTTGTCAAGTGCCAGGAGATCAATTCTGAAGGTGTCTGTCACATTAAGTCCCTTTCTTCCTTGTCAACAAGATCTACTGATTCTTTAAAGCAGCGTTAAAGGTGGAGCATTCTGAAGTAACCAATATCAGAATGAGAAATTGTCTTCGACGGTGGTTTGAAAGATAACTTCAGTCCGTTCCATGGTCGGATTTTTGTAAGATGTGAAAGAAGGTGGATTTGGAGGAGTTCCATCACACTCATTGTACATCGAGGTCTAACTGAGTCTACTTGCAGTATTTGAGAAGAGATATCAGGTGGTATGAAGACTCAAGCCGATCCCCAGTAAAACATCATCAGCTCTCCCTTGTGGACAGACAGTGAACATATGAAATCCGGCAGTACCGGTAATGTCGGTCGGTTTGCAAGGCGAATGGAAGAATGGATTATGGAAGAAATGGTATAGAAGACGGCTCGCCTATCACCAAAGGCCTGACTTGGCAGTTTTCTCTCTGAAACTTCCGTCATAGAACGGGAAGGTCGCTGACAATACGTTGGGCGAACAGATCTGTCGCTAAGATCCACGTAAATCGTAATTGGCTGAACACCAAGTTGGGACGGCTTGACTGCTGGCGACGGTATGTGCAATGGATGGAGTGTGAACGGCATGTGGTCAGCCCAGATGCTAGCGGTATACAAAGGTTCTGGCAATCATCAGTACCAGCAGCACAAAAGGCCTGGTTGAATGGACAGATTTCACATTGAAATCTCCGGTATGGTAATGATAAGATGCAGGCGTTTATTTGTATTCTATTATCAACTCGGATAATACGTTTTTACCACAGACGACTTCAAATAATACATTATTAGGTCTTTATTATATTGAAAATCTAATTGTATTTCAGTTATAAATAAAATAAGTGAATTTTAAGTCAGTTTGTGACACTCCTACCAATGCTAAAGTGTATGCATTGTCTATAAAAACATTCATACCTGAGAACAAGCTAGCCATCATGATCCCTCAATAATGGATAACCTGCCAAAAGCTTCGGGCTCACTCCATTACTTTTCTGAATGTGATGATAAATATATACATTTTAGAAACGGCGGGAAAAAGAAAACAAGTATTTTTTACTGTGGAAGGCTGGGATTTAACTCCGATATGATGTACAAATTCCAGGGATGTTTACTTCATGGATATCCCAGTGTTTTCCTTGAAGAAATTTAATAAGTCTTTTCACAGAAGTTACCAGAAGTAGTAACGTAAAACAGGATTAAGATTTTCATTATTGATCCCATGTCACGACCTTCTACACCCCCTTGACTTTGTCCTCAAACCATTTGCCATGGGTACTCATGCAAGGGTAAGTCATGTGGGGTAGAAGGCTGTGACAGATCAGATTGAACAAAACCTCCATTATCATTCTACTTCACTTTACTGCGAAATCAATTCAGTGATGATTATGGAACCTACCATAAGTGCATTGGCAAATATTTACACGATTTTCACTGTATGTAAATAAGAATAGTTAATATTCTCAGATCCCGTATCTTTGCTATAAGATGGCATTGTTTCCCATTTCCACCAGCAAAATGTCGATCTCAGCCATGCGAATTGTTTTATCCTCAACGGCCATTAAGTAAAACTTGGTAATTATGTGGAAGATGCTTTGTGTCGCTGTAAAATATTCTGAATAGACACGTGTTCAAGAATGCAGGTGTGATGAGATTATTTTACCAGCGCCGCCAGTCAAGTAGGTTACTACTGCTATGGCTCCAACAATTGCATTTTGGTGTTCCTATAATAGTTAATGTACTCCTGATTCTAGCCACACCCAGACAAATGGTGGCTGCAGAAGCGATTTCATGAATAGCAGATCTATCAACACAAAAAGGCATTTATATGTTAAGAATAGTTCAGTTTTTCTCATGTTTTCATGTTGCGAATGTTGCTCCACTTCGATTATTTTCTCGCGTTGTTAACACTGAAGGTCTATCATAGTTCTTCCGTCAATAATGTGATCGCATATTATTTCAGACATTATCCAGACCCGTCATGTCCATGCATAACACATACATGCACTTCTAACCAATTATTCTTTTTGACTGGCATAACTGACATGTAATTATATAAAATATCTGCCTGATGAATATTTAAATCACCGGCGATTGTGTTTTGAGGTCCCAGCATATAGTTTATATAGTAGCAAACCAATTGTGCCATTGAATTGTCTAAAACGATCATTCTCACCTTTGTTCAAACACTGTTACCCGAAGAATTGCATGCTTGTTAAATAACATACAGATTTGTGTTTTCTTGATCGAGTTAATATTGGTGTAACATAGTGGGAAATGGAACCAGATTTGTCAGTGAATTCTGCTCCATCATTCTTGAAACAATATCTAAGTGTTTATAATGGTTGGCTGTGCAGTCAATGATTGAGGTTTCTCAAGCACTGATTCCAAGATGGTTAGAGTTGATACTGCTTACCAAGATTATATTTCAGTGCATGCTAACATTGCTCAAAACAGATTTGCATCAATAAGTATAAAAAAAAAATCACTTTCAATATTAGCATCAATGGTGAGCCTATTTCTAATGTTGGCAAACTCATCACCGCTGCCAGAATTGATCAATTATATGTAACATTCAATCTAATCTTAAGCACAAACACTTAAGATGATTAAAAACCCACATGGATAGGTGTCCTTTTAAATGAATTTCATCTCTAGCAATTAATTCTTTTGCTGCTGAATGTGTAATAGATGTTTTAACGTTATTGTCTTCGATAGAACATTTACCATGCTGGTAATTATTTACCAATATTCCCAACCGTTATGACAATATTCTTATGAGGAATAAATATGATCCAGACTAGTGCACCTTCAAGATGTGATATTTACGGTCATCAAAAACAGTCACAATAGCATTGATTCTAAGTCGAACACTTGTTTATAGTGATGTCTAGCACTGGGGCATCGTGATGCAGATGTATAGCATATGTTCCACCCAGTCACATTATCCTGACACCAGGCTTACTAGTCCTAACACTAACCTCTTAATGTTGAGCACCAAGTGAGGCAGCTGTTAGTACTATTTTTGTAAGTCTTTGGTATGATTCAGTTGTGGATCGAACCCATGATCTTCAACATCTGAGGCAGATGTTCTAACCACTAGGCCACTGGAGCAGTCCATTTTCACAGTACCTGACTGATTCTTGTGAAATACAATCATATACACATAATGATATAAAGCTTACTATGACATGGCTTTTGTTTTCAGTGTTGCAACATTCTGTGGGTGGAAGTCAATGATACTGTTCTCGATGAAGAGAATTACCAGCCCATTAAAAAACTAAAACTTTTAAATTGTTGATGAAGTATGGTGTGTGTTTGTGACTACTTTGCTCAGATTTCATTTCCAGGCAAATTCATTGTCGACTATACATGAAACAAAATCATCTTGACCACTAAGATTTTACCTGTTCACGAGAGACAAATTACCAAGAAGCATTATAGATAGTTAGTTACACTAACAAATTTATGACTGGAAAAATGATTGTGACTGGAAAAGTATTTGCTTTGGTGCCTGGATACAAGAAGTATATGACTGTGCCAAAAATATTGTGTATCTATTCCAAGAAAATAATTTAACTTATAACCAGTGCAAGTAGTGAACATTTAGCTAAATGATATTGTTACAAATAGCAGAACCTCAGAGGAATAAATACCGATAGTCCATGAAATTAGTAGTTGTACTATTGTACAAATACAAAAGAATGAGGAAGAAATGACATCCCTAGTGAAATAAGAGACACTAAATTTTGCAGACTAGAAGATATACATAAATTACATGGGACTCAAACAGATTGAAGAAGCTAGACTGAGAATATTTTACACTGACTTGTTCATAAGCTGTTTTGATCATTTCAATTCGTGCCTCATTGACATAGATAGTCATTTATGCCTTGAATGTGTTTGTTTTAATTCTTGAAATGTAAACATTCTGCAGTTCTTTTTTATGACATGACTTCCTTGCAATCTCATTCTTTTGCCAAACTGATTTGTACTGTAGCAGTCATAAAACAAATGCACATTAGTTAGAGGCCTGAAAGAATTATGATGATAGTTTACTTTTACATCAATTACTTAGGTATCATTCACATACCTCATCAAACCAAACATTTGTAAACAAAAAAAAAACAACCCCTAAAACAAAAGTCCTAAGAAATAAAAAACTCATCACCTACCAGAAAGTGTTGGTATTTCCTGCCACTTCTTTGCTACACCTAATTTAATATCTTCATTTCCTAATTTGAGAAAGAAATGGAAACTTCTTCTCTGGCAGCAATGATATCTTCATCTTTAGTGACTATTGCTCCACAGCAAAAATTAGTGGCTTCAAAAAAGTCCAAGACAAAAGAGAGGTGTTGGATTTGTCAGATGAAAATAATTCATCATGAAGATGACACGATGTGCCGAAGATGAGTCATAATTTCAGAAAGAAGTGTAAGATCGATTCACTTTAGTCTTTTTGCACCTGAAACAAACGATATCAACAAAACGTGCACCCCACCATTGTTATCTCAAGACATAACTTTTCTCCTAAAAAGGGGAAAAGAAAAGGGACTCCCTACTTGTTTAACTAAATAATGCCTTTTTTCTGAATGAAATAAACTCGTTGGTTCCAGGCAAACAATGGATTAAACTCTAAAACTCGATCATTGTCATTTAGCTAAGAAAAATAATCTTACTGAGATTTCTCAGTTACCACAAAAATAACAATCACTGTTGGATCAAACTGATTTGTCAGAAACAGAAAAACAGTACACAGTACAAACAAGTACTGCAATGTCTTCAACTATTTCACTAGAAAGTTTTTAACTATACAGTGAAACCAACTCTGCTAGATTTCTAGGTGACCATGAAAAGCAAACCAAGCTGTAGGGGCAGCAGAAGACGATGAAACACAACCAATGTTTCAAATTCCATCTGTTTTCAACTGCCTAGCAAGATTACAGTTACCTAGTTATCATACTCTCCTACACCAAAATGAAAAAAAATTAAAGAATGGGTCATGAAGACTATGTCAACACCTTCTTCAGTATAAGTAAAAATATAAAGAAGGGGAGACAGAAGGTAAAAATGAAAAATGACACCAAGAAGAAAGTTACTTCCCCACAACCAGCCTTTATATTGTTCTTTGGACACACCAAACTTCATCCAAGCCAATATGACACAAAATCTAAGCACATAATTGAACCGTGGCTCGCTTATTGAGAAGCAATAACATGCACACTTAACCCTATCATGGCCACACTTTTAGCCTGCATTTACTACAATCCTACTCATGTTGCTGGTTACAGAGGAATTCAAAACTGGTATTATGTTTCTAAAACCAATCTTAAAGTGCATGTTTGACAGCTGTGCAACAATTGTTTTAAAAGAAACAACTTACAAAACTGAAGCAATAGTAAAAAAATGTTTTATATACAAGCAGCACAAACTCATTTTACTAATAATTTTCAGAAGTCATACCACTCTGGCTGGCATTGTTCATCAAGGGCAAGCCACTCTGGCTGGCATTGTTCATCAAGGGCAAGAAGATTCAGTTAATGTCTCACAATGGCAGAGTACTATCATGCTTACAAATATTTGTTTTGTGTCATTAACATGCTTTCAAAATCAGCATAGTTTCTTTTGTTTCTAAAACAAATTCAGAGTTAGTACAAGCTTTATTTAAACTGTTTTTGAAACAAAGTGGTTGTACCCTTTATGATAGAAAACAGACCAAAAAATAAATTTGTGAACCAAGCTTTTCAAAATGAATTGAAGACAATTCTTTTCATATTTTTACCACTGAAGTAAAAGCTAGTATTGTGGAATATTTTCAAAGAACATTGCAAGAGTATATGTGGAGATATTTTACACATCAACACACTCTCAATATATTGACATGTTCATTCATTTCATCAAAGCCTACAATCAATCATTCCATCACAGCACCAAAAGAATTCACTCCTGAAAACAAAGTGATGGTGTTTGGAACATCACGAACTACAGCAAAGCAGTGGTGTTAAAGAGATCAAGTTCACAGTGGAAAAAACAAACTTACATTTGACTAAAATATTTATGTAACTGTTCAAATTGCATGGACATGATCTTTCTGTCATTAAATTGTTAATAAGAACTGAGTGACCAAGAGATGATGATGTGTATTATATCAAAAGAGTATGAAAAGTAGGCAAACATAAAAAATGTTGGAAAGGATATTCACTTTGTTTTGTTTCATGAACTGGGCTTCACAAGTCACAATTATTCTGTCACCAATGCTTTCAAAAATAATTAACACTGACAAACTTATTAATGTGTTACGAGTCTATACTCTTAAAAAATAAGTAACAAAAAAGAGTGAAAATCAACAAGATTTGTAAAATTAAAAAAATAATTTATCTAAATTACAAAGTGAAAATGAGAAAAAAAACTTACGGTATTGCAAAATAATCCTAGAATTACAAACACAAGTCTTGAAAATTCAAAGTTTTAAAAAAACTTTAGTAGAAATCCAAATTAAGTCCAATACTGAAGGTGTTGGTGAGCCTGTGCTGGCTTGTGTACCAACAGTTTTATGTTGAAACACATAATATAATTCCAGGTTTGAATTCACTATAAATCTGAGTGAATGTCTGTCTAAGAATGTTATATTTTTTGAGCACTCTCTATTTCCAGAGAAAAAGTAGCAATGAATTAAATAATTTAAAGAAAAAAGTCCCAGCCCAAAAGAACTGGACAAATTAATACTACAAATTGATTTTGCTAGATTTTAGGCATGAATAAATAGTCTTTTATTGACAACATTATAAATTTCTCTACGGGACCTCAGGTCACAATTAAAACATTCTTAAAAAACATTACCTAATGGAAAAAAGCTTTCTAGAAAGTTCTAAATGTTTACAAAATAAAATGTTAGTTTTTATTAGAAAGTCTGTTACAAAAATTGTAATATATAACCTGGACAATGTTAGGTACTCCTGATAAATTGTAGGTGAATCCCAATAACTTAGACACAGACCAAAATAAACATATCTACTTCTATTAACAATGACCTGATAATAAACCCATACACATAGCAAATGTTTTAGCTATTTATTAGTTGTTTACAGAGTAAAATTAAAAAATTCAATAATTCAGGTCAAGTAGAAAATTTTTAACAAAGTTAAGTCCAACATACAATGTTACATTACAATAGCAGATAATGAAATAAATGAACTTAAAAACCTAACAAACAATGCAAATAAAATATATATAAATAAAATATACAGTCTGAGTTATACTCTGCTAAATTCTATCTGTTCTAAATACTGAATTTCTTGTTAATAAACTTGCAGTCACTTATGAAACTATAAAGTATATTTTTAGAAATAGTCATGCCAGATTTTTCTGATGGGTAGAATTATGATCTACAGTAAAATAGCTAAATTGGACACTGAGTTTCTAATAAATTATCTGAAACTCATTCACAGGCATCTAAATGGGTAATCTACCAGAGACAAAGTTGTTAACAGATTGTCTGTAAATATATATGGCACAGGTTGTCCTAACATCCATTTCAGAGCAATCTTCAAAAATCAATAGTAAAAAAAGATTTTAGAATAAATAAAATAAGCTCCATATTGCTTGAAGTATGTTAATAATAGTACCACTGCACAGGGATCAGATTATTTAATTACAACAAGTGATTTTTGGGGTAATATATTTGAGCATGCACATGCGACAATGTTCAAAACTGCTCCTGTTTAATGACCAACACTTTTAGGACTATGTAGTATATTCGTACACATCTTATCTCATTCCACTTTCCACGTATTAATGAACAGACATTGGGGATAGTTTATTCTTTATGAAAGAAATGAATAATTATTTATCAGTCCTCAACTGATTATGTGACAACTAGCTGACCATATGACCATGTCACATGTGCATGAAAGAGGCTTTTATATCGAGATTGTTTTTAAGGAAGCACTGGATAGTTTAACAGCCACTTGCTGTGGGATTAATGCTGATGATTTGAAATCACTTATTAGGAAAGAAATGTAGATTATTCATTTGTGTTAAAATGTTTCAGTGGGTGTGTATACTAGTTGAATGAACAGATGTTAGTGGTTTATCGTCAGCCCCTGTTTTAACAA